CGACTCATTTCGACGTATGGTAGAACTAAAGCTAGATCGTGTCTCCTTCGTCACCCTTGTAAACGAACCACTACCATTCATTTTGAAACATCTTCGCAAGCTCTCCATTTACAGCGTCTTTCCTTCAATCGACATTCTCATTCTTTCAACACCCTACACCTACAAGTACCACAGAGAAGTCTACCACGTCTGGACAACTATCCTCTCAACCTCGAGACACTCATCATTACAGATGCTAGCGTCGATCTACGCATAGAGATCAACAAACTTCCCAACCTTCGCACTCTCAAACTGCACATGAAAAATGTGGATAGGTGGCTGGAAAATGATGCACATCTCCTCCGCCAGCTCCTTTTCCCTATCTTTCAAACGAATAACACAATGAAACTATTCGAATTCGTCTGTCCTGGTGTGAATGTGCGAAAGATGAAGTGTGTCGAGAAGATCCTCGCTCAATTCCTTCCCTCACTGCAAACAAACTTCGATGGAAAGTCACCATTGACAGTAGAAAAAGTATGAGTTCAATAAATCTGTCTTCGTAGTTCTTTTGCGTAGTGAATTACCCCATCATCATGCTGGTGACTGTCCACCGTGCTGGGATGCACAGTCGCACCTCTCCACCCGCATTTGTGTGCGAGATTTGACCATGTCTTTCGAAAGACACGCAGGAATCGTTTGTCGAGGAACATCAAGATGATGGGGTCGAGGAAGACGCACAGCATGCTGAGAGTGCCCATATATTCGGAGACGATGTAGGCGGGAAGGGAAATGTTGCTGACGATCACACTGGGTGCCCACAGGCATAGCCAAACGGCGTAGAGAACGAACGATTGAAGAAGTAGGTGTTTGTGGGCAGCACGCTGTAAATGAAAGTTGACTCTTCTTGACGCCTTCGACAAAAATCACACACACCTGAGATCTCACAGCCAACTGCGATCGTCCCACATGTACAAATGTGAGAAGAAGGAGAGTACAGGTGATGAGAACGGGCAGATTGAGAACGACTGTCAGATTAATTAAAGGCCCATTCCTTCAGAAAAAGTCCGACCAAGCTGAAACCTTTTCTATTGAATACAGTTTCCCAGACACTCAGTGCGAGAAAATTTCGTAAGTTTGAAAAATGATCCGTTCCTTTGGAGTTTCACGTTCATATATCTCGAGCTCAAACGGGAAGCTATTCAACTGTACATAGTAACTGTCAGGAGGGACCACCTTAATTTACTCGTCAGACCGCGAAAGGAGAATCGACACGAGCCGTCCATCTCCTGCTCGGTCACATACGCCGTATTATGTACTGTTGCTTGCAACACCAGTACAATAAAAGGAATCACGTAGAGACTGGTATTGATTGCATAGAGAAGACGAGGAAACCGTTTGTAGGTGTCCACATTTCGAACGATGCTCAAATAACGGCACACGTTCAGGCCAACTAAGATCCATGATTCGACGAGAGTGAGATACACCCCCGTGTATGCTTCGATGACACAGAAGAAACGGAAGGAAGACGGAGATGCACCACAGGGTGGCGTGGTAGTGCGCGAGATGAATTCGATGTAGACCTGCAGGAGAAGGATGATGTCTGTGGCGAGGTAGTTGTAGCGTATGAAGAAAGCATCGATTTTGAATTGCTGGGCGAAGAAAGTGGTCTCTTTCGAGTCAATGGGACTGACAAAAAAGCAGTCAGTTGTTTTCGTCAAAACTCTGGATTTTTTTTATAAGTTGGAGATCCTCACATGCACTAATACATTAATACTTATTATCAAACAATTTCATAAACATTTTCAATGAACTCAGTTCTACTAATGATAATAATAATCCCATTACAACAACTAAATATTTCACGATTCTCATTGAGAGTTCTTTCTGACGAGAATGAGAAGAAACATATGTCTTTCTCCTTTTCAGCTCTCTAAATTCTCCTCAATTCTCCACTGGTTCTGGCAGAACTTGGTGCAATTCACCCTCAAACTCAGCTGCTCTCCACGAATTGGCCGATTCTCCTCAATTCTACTGTGACTCTGGCAGAATCTGGTGCACTTCTATCAGAACTCAAACAGAATCCACTATATTCTCTTTCACACTCAGATGCCCCCCACGAATTGGCTGATTCTGCTCAATTCCGCTCTGATTGTGGCAGAATCTGGTGCAATTCTACCAGAACTCAAACAGAATCCTCTATATTCTCTTCCACACTCAGATGCTCTCCGCGAATTAGCAAATTCTCCTCAATTCTACTGTGACTCTGGCAGAATCTGGTGCACTTCTATCAGAACTCAAACAGAATCCACTATATTCTCTTTCACACTCAGATGCCCCCCACGAATTGGCTGATTCTGCTCAATTCCGCTCTGATTGTGGCAGAATCTGGTGCAATTCTACCAGAACTCAAACAGAATCCTCTATATTTTGTTCCACACTCAGATGCTTTCTGCGAACTGGCAAATTCTGCTCCATTCTACTCTGACTCTGGCAGAATCTAGTGCAACTCCACCAGAACTCAAACAGAATCGACTATATTCTCTTTCAAACTGAGATACTCTCTACGAATTGGCAGATTCTGCTCTACTATGCAGTGATTCTGCCAGAATCTGGTGTAACTGTACCAGACCGCAAACAGAATCCTAAATATTCTCTTTCATATTGAGATGCTCTCTAAGTGTTGGCAAATTCTGCTCAATTATCCTGTGATTCTGGCAGAATCTGGTGCAATTGTACCAGAACTCAAACAGACACCCCTATATTCTCTTCAACACCCAGATGCTTTCTACGAATCAGCAGACTCTGCGTGCAGAATTCGACACGATCAATCATGCACACACAAAACCTTTCTGGTGCAATTCTACCAGAACTCAAATAGAATCCACTATATTCTCTTTCACACTCAGATGCTCTCTACGAACTGGCAGATTCTGCCGATTCGTAGAGAGCGTCTGAGTTTGAAAGAGAATATAGTGGATTCAGTTTGAGTTCTCGTAGAATTGCACCAGATTCTGCCGGAATCACAGCATAATTGAGCAGACTTTGCCAGTTCGTAGGAAGCATCTGAGTGTGAAAGAGAATATAGTGGATTCAGTTTGAGTTCTCGTAGAATTGCACCAGAAAGGTTTTGTGTGTGTGCATGATTGATCGTGTCGAATTCTGGTAATTTCCACGAAACTGTGGGATGTGACTCTGCTGACACCTGTAAGATCAAATACATATTGCATCGTATGTAGTTTTCAAATAATGGTTTTAAACAGGCTATTTTCATTTGTTTAGAGAAACAAGCCTATGGAAGTAACACAGATTCGATTAATCGATGCGTAACATCATTATCAGATTGTTCGGCAAGCACAGCCACTGTTACGGCCAGTACTGCTAGTACTGGTAGTGATGGATATACTCTGTACTGCTGTACAACAGATCTTTGCAATAGATCGTTAATAGTATCAAGAGATGTTCTTCTTGCATTGGTAATAACCATAATGAGCTTCTTTATCCTTACGAACTAAAATATTGATGCTCGATCCTTTCCGTTTTCTTTTTATTTGCTCTTGTCTTATTCTGTTCCTAATACATTTTCTATTATAACTCTTAATATCAGTCACAATATCGGACAAACAACACTGATAAAATAGAACATCACTGTATATGAAATTAAAGAAATAAAAACCAAGTTGTTACAAAATAAATGAATCAATAAATCATCGTTTCACATGCAGAATATATCAATTTAACTTACTCACATATAATTGATGATCGATTTGAATCGTGTAAGGTCGAATGAAAAGTAGAACGAGTTCAGACATTCGATTAATGATCAGGTTGATATGATCAAGTCTAATATAGCACAAGTTTCTGTCATGTTCAAAAACGCAAAGACAGTACTGATGTACGTCCTCGAATCAAGCACGTTCATTTCACTTATCAAGATTTTTTTCTTCAGACCGTAAATAATGTATTAACTATTTGGTTCCCTCACAAGAAAGGGGGAAAAATAATCCATAGAACATCATACATAGTCTTATCAATTGATAGGGTCGATGATATTCTATCCAACCAATCTTCATCGTTTTTTTTTCTTTTCATTTCTCCGTCTCTCTATTTTGATGGCAAAAAAGATAACAGTTTGCCCGAACAACATATAAATAATCTTTATTTTTACTCAATCCTCGCAATTTTAGAAAGAAACATGCAATACTTTTCGTTACTTATTCTTTCTGCTCTGATACTCATCGTTCAAAATGCTAAACCAGTTACGAAACTTTCATCCAAGTCCAAGACGAAGGCAAGACCACTTCAGCAAAAGCCTCATACGAAAACTCTGGCTGCAAAGGCGAATATCGATGTTTACAAATATCTCACGCAATTTGGCTATAATCCATGTGTCAGACCTACTGGTTCGAAGCCGAGCGATGGATCTGGCCCATTGTGTTCGACGAGTATGGCATCGATGCTTGAATCTTTTCAAATCGCCTTTGCTCTCAATGTAACCAAGAAACTCGATGCTGCTACAGAAAAACTGATGAGAACCCCACGATGCAGTTTGTCCGATTATCCGCCAGCATTTACCGATAGAAGGACTCTGTGGTACGTTTTTTCTTGTTTCTTTCTTGTTAATTATGATAAAATTTTTCTATTCAAGGCCGGAGGATCAAACGCTGACGTGGAAATTGAACGGCAATCGTTCGCCCTTTATCAACACAAAAACTCGCAAATACATTCAACAAGCATTTGATGATTGGGCCAGTCATGCTGAATTAAACTTTCGTGAAGCAACTGAAAATGCAAAAGCTGATTTTAATTTGGCTTTTCTATCTGGTGATCACGGAGATGGATTTCCACTTGAGGGGCCTGGACTAACTCTAGCTCATGCTTTCTATCCGCGGGATCCTGACTATCGTGGAGAAGCTCATTTTGATCTATCAGAGGAATGGTCGGACAAGTAAGTAAAATAAACACTGCTCTATCTTTGATCGGTCTGTTATTTGAATTTGAAGGTATGATGAAGTAGGTATAAATTTTCGTCTTGTTGCGTCACATGAAATTGGACACAATCTTGGACTTGGTCATAACACTCACGAATCCAGTGCACTTATGAATCCATTTTATCAACTATTTGAACCATCAGACATGTTACCCCGACCATTAAGCACAGTATTTCTTCGCTTCACGTCCCATCTTCATACGTAACTGCTTAGAAGATCTTTTTTCCGGATATTTCTCGATTATCATTTTCAACGCATTATACGAATGAGATGAGAGTATTTTAATCCTTCCAATCATTCGATATACTTAGGGCATACCAAAAGTAATGATGTCGACCTTGTGATATTTTACAGAAGGCTTATGGAATTTTTTCTTCCATATATTCTGATAGAGCAAGTTTTTCTATCATTCTAGACACTTCATAAATCTTCAAGTGATATGAGATTGGAAAAAGTATTCAGTTCTTTTAAGTCGTCGGCACTTTTTTCGAAATTTCACCATGAGAAAGTAGCAAAATGCAAATTTCTCTATTTTGACAAGATGGTGCAATTCTACCAGAACTCAAACAGAATCCACTATATCCTCTTTCACACTCAGATGCTCTCTACGAATTGACAGATTCTCCTCAGTTCTCCAGCGGCTCTGGCAAAATCCGCTGCGGTTCTGCCAGAAGTCAAACAGAATCCACTATATTCTATTTCACACTCAGATGTCCTCTGCGACTTGGGAGATTGCGCTCAATTCTGCTGTGATTCAAGCAGAATCTGGTGCAATTCCATCAGAACTCAAATAGAATTCACTATATTCTCTGTCACACTCAGATGCTCTCTACGAATTGACATTTTCTCCTAATTTCTCGCATGGCTCTGGCAGAATCTGGTGCAATTGTACCAGAACTCAAACAGAATCCGCTATATTCTCCTTCACAATCAGGTGCTCTGTACGAACTGACAGATTTGGCGCAGTTCTGCGGTGATTCTGGCAAAATCTGGTGCTGTTGTGGAAGAACCCAAACAGAATCCGCTATTTTCTCTTTCACACTCGGATGCTCTCTACGAATTGGCCAACTCTGCTAAATTCTGCTGTGATTCTGGCAGAATCTGGTGCAATTCTACCAAAACTCAAGCAGAATTCACTATATTTTCTTTCACACTCAGGTGCCCTCTTCGAACTGGCAGATTCTGCTCAATTATGCTGTGATTCTGGCAGAATCTGGTGCAGTTCCGCTAGAACTCGGACAGAATCCAGTATATTCTTTTTCACAGTCAGATGCTCTCAACGATAAAATTTTACTCAGCAAAATTTGTGCAGCACTCGATAAAAGTTTATGGAAAATTATCTAAGCATATTCGTGACCCGAGGCCAGTGCGGGTTGCCAGCTCTTCTCATTTATCAGAATTTTTCTGATTATGTAGATTTTTTCTGGTCGCTTTCTGATTTTCTAATTTTTTGTGATGTTTAACTGTTTTTGATTAGTGCTGAAGGGCTTGTCCACTTCACTCGACACTTCGCTGATCAAGTTTTTGAAAAAATTATTTTAGAGTAGAACTGATAGGAGCATATCACTAGATGCAGTTTTTGACGCTGATTACGAATCTAACATTAGTTTTTGAAAAAAGTTAAATTTT